TTATGCTGTTGTTCACCTGTTATACAGCAGAAACACAACATTTGCAGGTGAATAAATTAAAATTATCGTCCATGACATATCTAATGGGGAAGAGAGTAAACATTGCCTGGAGACCAGGAATTCAAAGGTTTGGCAATGACACCACGAAGACTGCCTGGAAACCTTGACAAGGTTTGGCAGATGAATTGCAGCATTGTTGCCAGCAATAATTTGCCTGGAGACCTAGAATGGAAGGTTTGGCAATGTTGGATTTCCTGCATGTTCAACAATTTTAACTCTGCCGAGATGTACATTAAGTGCATTTTGCCGGTCCCAAGCCCGGACAAAAGAGGAGGGTCTAAAAATATGAACATTTGTAGCCAATGACGTATCTTGACACACTCTGTCTTAAAATTCGGAGAGGTTCTCCTTCACTGCACCTCTACTGGTTCATTACCATAGCTGCAATACCTATCGCAGCTCATTAACTATGTGCTAAGATTTTTTTACAGAAGCACAGGCCTCCATAGGTTTAAATCAATTGGGCCTTGTGAAGAATGCCAAGAGGCCACGAAGAAGTACAGAATATAGATTCATATCTAATGGTAAAAGGAACAGATGCAAAACAAATAAACGAGGCTGAGACTATCATCTAAGAGGCCCCTCCACGAAAGAGTTAAACAAGAGGCAAGGATTGTCAATTTATATTGAAAGATAAAAAAGAGTTTGTGTACCAATCTTACGATAGACTATTATCTGCGGACGTTCATAAACCTTTTCTCAACATGCAGTCACGCAATGTTAAAACCAGCAAATAATGAAAGGCCCTTTGCTGTGTTTTCTCACTGGAGTATTAATCACTTTCTAAATCTGGGGTGGTAACAAAGAGTGATTGCTTCTATTGCAGTACATTAGCTCTGTGTCATCCTCCCACCCGCCTCAACCCACGGCATATAGAAAACATAGTACTTCAAAGTGTATGTGACCAAACAGCCACCACTAGTGAACACGTTCATGAGAAACCTGAGAGTGTAGAGATTGCATAGGCTCCTACTAGCTCACCTATAATTTTGGATGTCAAGTTAACACTCGAGGAGTCTTATGCTGCAGTCGGTGGGTACCCAAACACTTGTTTCCTTTGGTCTTTGTGACCAGGACACAGCCTGAACCAGACCTTTTTGATAAGGAAGACTTGTTCTTTAACACTAAAGAAGAACCAAGCAGTGAAACTAGGAGTATGTAAACGTATCTTCTCACGAAGACCCATCTTACATCCCATCTAAAAATGATGAAAGTGATGACCATGAGGAGGAAGTAGTTTTAATGGCAGCACCAAAAAGGTTAAAGCTCAAACTCCCCAAAATGAAACCAAATTAAAAGTATTTATGGAACAAATGGATGAACTTTAGCATCTATGCCGTACATGTGGGGCAGTAGTAGTAAGCAAAAAAAGTCAAATGTGTGTTACTCTTAAATGTAAAAATGGGCAAAAACATGCGAGCCAGCAAAAGCTGATAATTTATCTATTGCTGGCTTTCACGTGACGTCATGGCGGCCATATTGGTGTACAGTTAACAAAAGATTTATCATCAGTTTTTCTTATTACAAGCTGTACACCAAAATGGCTGCTATTGTCTTTTAATTCTGCAGGGATTGAGTGAAAGCCAAGAATAGGAATATATTTGATTCTTAGAAGTCGTAGAGCTTACGTTGTATATTAACAGTATGTTGTTGTAGGCCATCTCTTATTTGCTGTGGTAACGTATACCATATACCAAAGAAAGGCAGCTTTAAATATCATATTGCTACAAAACACGTAAGTTAATTCATTTATATATGCCATTACTACCATTTGCGAGCACCTTGAAGCGTAAATAATTTTTCGTGTTTGTTTACGTTTCAAATTTAACGGTTCTGTCTCGTTTTTGTGATACATTTGACCGATGAAACGTCAACATTTGGATTGTGAATGAACACGTTAATGGGTGTTTACTTTTATCTTACTTCACAGTTTCTGTTGGTTTTAGGCCGACTTGCGAATCAAATTTTCTTGTAAAATTTGCTTGTGTAGTTTTTTTCTGTGCATAAGGATCCTTTTCTAATAAGCTTCAAATTTATTTTGTTGTTATTATTCTTTTTTATAAAATAACACATATAACGCGTACTCTGATTGGTCAGAAAGCCATATTTGATGAGAGTATCAAACATGCTCGCGCAGATTTTTCAAAGTTAAACCGTACTTTTATTACTGTTATTTTATGATAGTATTAAAAAACAGTTTTCCTGTGTTTGATACCCGGATCAAAACACTTGCGATGTTGAGAGACCACTTAAGAAGCTGTAAACCACTCCGCTTTGTGTCGTGGTATGCCTACTCTCTCAACGCTAAAGAAGAACCAAGCAGTGAAACTAGGAGTATTTAAACGTATCTCCTCACGAAGACCCATCTTACATCCCATCTAAAAATGATGAAAGTGATGACCATGAGGAGGAAGAAGTTTTAATGGCAGCACCATCAAGGTTAAAGCTCAAACTCCCCAAAATGACACCAAATTAAAAGTATTTATGGAACAAATGGATGAACTTTTGCATCTACGCCCTACATGTGGGGCAGTAGTAGTAAGCAAAAAAGAAATGTCCGCTCAGGGAAGTCAAATGTGTGTTACCCTTAAATGTAAAAACGGGCAAAAACATTTGGAAGAGTGAACCCAAGCTCAAAGGGATGGCTGCTAGAAATCTATTACTGCCTTTAGTAATTCCACTAAGTGGAGCAACATACACCAAAATGGCATTATCTGAAATTGTGAACTTGAAAATTTCAGGGAAGAGGCAATTAACAACATTCAAAACATGAACTTATTTCCTGTTAATAATGAGGCTTGGGAGAGAAAACAAAATTCTGTTTCCAGCGAGCTTCAATTTGAAGACCTTTGGCTGTCTGGAGATGGTAGGTGTTACAGTCCTAGAGTGCCTAAAGTGTCCTAGTCCTAAAGTGCTTAATATGGGACATACCCTGTAATTGATCAACTCAATAACAAGATTGTTGATTTTTAAATCGTTCAGGTTAGTGAGGTGACCAGGAGCAATGTAATGGAAAGAAAGGGTTACAAACGGCTGATGGAAAACATTCAAAACAGAGGACCCAACTTAAAAGTAGTTGCCATGTACATATCAGTATATGGCCTGACACAAAAATAATTATCCACATGTGCAACACCAGTTTGATGTTTGGCACTTTGCAAAGAGCATCACCAAAACACTGACCGAAAGGCAAAGAACAAAGAATGTAGCGTACTTTTCCCCGGGATCAAGGCCATCTCTAACCATCTTTGATGGTGTGCAAACAGTTGTGAGAGCGATTGGAATCTCTTACATGTGAAGTGGATTGCCATTGTCCAGCACACGGCCAATATCCACTTGCAGGGCAGTCTAGACTTATACCAAGAATGTCCCTACCCACTCATCCCTAGGGAGGAGGCAAGGACAAAGAAGTGGCTTCGTCCTGGTTTCCCTCCACATGAGGCTCTTAATGAGGTTGTTTTCATTAAAAACTCTGCTCAAGGACATTGAGCAATTAACATTAAACCGTCACACTGGAAGTGTACCACAGCGTAAAACTGCAGTACCTTTTCGGAAGTAACTTTTGGCTCAGAGAAAGTGGGCTTGTGGAGGACCTTTAGGCCAATCTGGAGGACATTAAGGAAAGCACTCCAAGTTTTGTTTCAATTATAGTGCTTTTTGCTAATTACATAGGGAAATTGAACTTACAGAAAAATGTCAGAAGAGAAAAAATAAACCTCCGAATAAATTAGAACAAGAAACAATGAAGAAAGAAAATGCATCTAGATACACGTACATTTATGACTAATAGTAATCCTTTGTGAATGGTATAGCCTTTAATTTAGAACTTGTGTAGTAAACAGTATGTAAGCTCACAGAGAGTGCTGTTGCAGATCAGATTCAGTTGCACTTGGCTAAGAACAATCTGTATCCAGTGTTCCAGTGTACATACAGGAAACTTTAGTGAAAGTTCACAATGACATTCTGACAATCATAAACAAGCAGCATGTGACTCTCCTCATTCTGTTAGACTTGAGCGCTACCTTCGATACTGTGGACCATAGTATTTTGTTAACACATTTAAGATGAAAGCTGGGCCTGAATGGAACCGCTCTTTCGTGGTTCTGCTATTATCTATCTGGAAAAACACAAGGAATGTCTTGTTCAGAGAGCCCTTTCACATGTATTTCATCTTCGTTGAGGCATTCCCCAGGGATCTTGTCTAGGTCCCCTTCTGTTTAACATATATTCAAGCAAAATCTTTGACATTGTCGGTCATCACCTTCCAAAGTTCCTTTTTATGCAGATGGCTTTTAGCTTTATTTATCGTTCAACCCAAGCTGTGCTTTTAGTCACAGGTTTTCATTGATCTAATTGCCTTATCTCGCAAGTTAAGCAGTGGATGACCTCAGACAAACTTATGCTTAAAGAAGACAAACCCGAATTTATTGTAATAGCATCACGACATCTATTAAAAAAAAGGCTGCTGTTGACACTATCAGGGTAACAGATTGCAATGTAAGCACAGTGTCTGTTGGGCAGAATTTGGGTGTGTGGTTTGATGATAAACTTACTATGGCTGATAGATAAACTGATAAACCGATGATAAACTTACTATGGCCGTATGCAGTAAATATGCAGTGCTGCTTTCCATCACTTGCACAACACAAGACGCATAAGGAAGTATCGTTCAGTGGATGCAGCTGCGACTCTTATCCACTGTTTTGTTAGTAGCAGAATGGACTACTGTAGTAGTCTATTATATGGTGTGCCCAAGTGCCATATTGACAAGTTGTATAGAGTTTAAAACACAGCCGCCAGACTTGTCGTTATGCAGGGCAAATTTTGCCATATTACCCCAGTGCTCCATCAGCTGCATTGGCCTCCTGTCTCATTTCGTATTAATTTTAAGATTTTACCTTTAACTTTCAAAGCCATTCATGAATTAGCACCGTCTTATATCAACGATCTTGTCAAAATTAAACCTTTACACTTAAGATACAGGCTGCGATCTAATGACAGAATGCTGCCGTCTCATCTGAATTTTATAACGTTAACAACCCTTGGCGACCGTGCTTTCGTTGCCTCAGCACCTAACCTTTAGAACAATTTACCTCTAGAAATTAGATGTCTTTGTACTTATACAGGGTTTTCAACAGTTTTTGAAGTAGGAGTTGCGTTTATTTGAGTAGGAGTTGCAAGGCCCGGAGGGCCTTGCTCTCTAGGGGGGTCTGGGGGCATGCCCCCCCAGGAAATTTTGAATTTCTAGACTCTTGGAGGCGCATTTTCCCGCATTTTGAGACGCAGAACTAGCAAATTTTAGATATCGAAAATACTGATAAATTTTGATGCTTTTAGTAACTTTATTAACCACAATATTAGGGTACGCTTTAACCACATTATTACCCGCAGCATCTTTTTTCTTTTTCTTGTTTGTCACTGTCAGCGACCACATCTCCCGTAAACCACGCTGTCGCTTTTCTGCCATTCTGCCGTGTTCTTGGAGACGAAATGTGGCGTTTTATATAGAGTCGCTTCAGAAACCGCTAACTACAATGTTCCCTGTAACTGAGACCCAGTCTTCGACTCGTCCTCAACTTTACGCAGAGAACGTATTTTAAAAGCAGACTCAAGATGTTTTGGCAAAATTCTCCAGAAAAATTTCAAGTTTGCTTGCTCGCAACAGCTTTGTGAACACTTACCACTTTTTATCAAAAGTTTTATTTGTCATATAATTTACCTAAGGGAAAGTAGGCGTCGCAAATCAAAAAGTTGCCGTCGGATGCGACGGCCGACGGCTGATTTTGAAAACACTGTTATAGGTATTATTGATCTTGATTGGCAACGTATCCGCCACATGGCAAAGTGGATTTGTATTTTCTGTTTTGAAATGAAGGGTTCCACCATATTTGTCTAGACTGTTTTGCGATGTGACCATCTTGAAGAACACAGACTTTCTGAAGACCATGCGCACTTGCCAGTGCGTAGCAATGTTTCCAGAAAGCACTTACAACTATATGGTGACGCATACTCACACCAGAGAAATGGCAGCAGGAGAGATATAAACTCTTTTCTCTCCCTTTTTGAGACATTTTCCCTTATAGTACTTAATTGATATAATTCCCAAAATAGTGTATCTGTTTTTCGCCCATCTGCATCGAAGACAACACTCAGTCCAGGGAGAAATCTCATGAGGTAGCTGCCTTTAGTTTCCTTTTTCAGTTTTGCTACTTTAAGGGTTTTGCTAGCTTTATGATAAAAATTTAATAGTATGAGGAGATTCAATGTATTTCCCCATATGGTTAGTTCCTGAGTTTTTGTCTAGCATTGTCCATTTGAAGTGTTTGTTAAGCTTAGTTTTAGTCCTTGGAAGTAGGCTTGTTTGGGGAGTACAGCTGACCTTGAGTTTTGCCCACAATCGAGTTTCTGTTTTGTACGCTTGGTCCTTCCGGGCAGTTTCACTGTAAGCATTTAACTGGTTCTTTGGTACTTATCGGTTGTGGCTGTGTAGGCTGATCTAACAATGGCAAACCTGTTGCAATAATTATATGCAATAAGATATTCAATATAAGCTCTCCCGGTCAGCTAACCAACAATAAGTCTACAATTTAGCTATTTAATCCGCTGCGTTAGCTAGCAGAATGAGTAGAGTTGTTGTCAGTAGCTGTAGAGGATTAAACTGTTATCTTTAGGAGAAAGAACAGAGTCTTGGTCCTCTCCTTACAAAGCCTAGCAAGCTTCTCCAGGTCTCAACAATAGGATAGAAAACATTTGCTATTAGTAGTTTATATACAGTAGTTTTATAGTTAATAGTTTATACAAATACCAGTAAACATTATCTAGCCGTTGCTAAAAGAGCTTGCAGATATTCCATTCACACCTCCTTGTTACCTTATAAGATGAAATGAAGAAGCGGACCTGAAGTATGATTGAAATGACATTGTATTAGGTGCATTGTTCAGTTCCATAGCGGCCAATTCGGAAATGTGATTACAATACCTGTGTGTCCAGTTATCTCACCATCCAGGGATAGTGATGACAAAGAAAGCGAATCAGATTCTGATTCAGATTATGAAGATGAGCACAGTAAGGAAGATGGACATGATCATTGAGTTAATGACATCACAGATAATGAGGTCTTTTTCAGGCAATTTACACTGCAACCGGCCACCTTAAGAACTCTGAGCCACGCTATGTCTATTTCACAGTGCATGATCCGTATAATTAATGGGAAAGTGGTGTATTTGTTCAAAATTACTGACCAGATAGGCAGTAAATTGGACATTTTGGCTCAAGATTTGAAAATTGTTGACGATACCTTTTCTGTTTGGCAGACACAACTTAAAAGATTTTTTTTAATTTTTATTGACAACAAATTAACAATATTAATACACAGCAAAAAGTAAAAGAATAAATAAGAAAATAAATATGTCAGTAAGTAACAAAACAAATTACAATAGTAAAAAAGTAAAGAGTATTGGAAAATAAATAATAATGAAAATAAAAATAATAGTAATAATAATAAAACCTGTTAGTCGGCACACATATTCAATATTGTTTGTCACAATTTTCAATGCAATATTGTTCAAAAAGCTTACGTAAAAATTCCTCTAAATTAGGTTTCGTTACAATGTTCTTGCAAGTATACAAGCATTTCTTTTGCAGTAAAACCAATAGACGAAGTTTGCTTTCGCTTCAAATCTGGAGGAATGGCAGCAACTAATTGAAAATAGTGAAATAGTTAGCTTTAATTTCAAATTTTTTTTGAAATTCTTCGAAGGTTAGAAATTTACCATTTGAGTTCATTAAATCGCTAATGAAAGTAACAACCTGATCAAACCATTGTTTCCAGAAGACACTATTCCTTTCTATTGTAATTCTCCTGTTATTCCAGAGAATGAGGTCATTGTTTTTATCATATTCTGAGAAGTTCGTTAATTCTTGGAAATAATCTAATAACTCATGGTAGAATAAAGGTAGATTGTTGTCAAGAGTTGTAGTATTGTAGTTGCACTTAAGAAGGAAGGGCAGGCCGCCATCTTTATCAAAAAACAAATTCGGTATTGCTTTCCAATTATCATCAGAGTTGCTAATCAGTCTAGCTATCCAGGCTAGTCGCAAAGATTTTACCATAATTCCAAAAAAAAGTCAAGGCCACCATTTTCAAGTGGCTTGCATTCAACATTTCGTTTAATTTTATCTTTCTTATTTTTTCCAAAAAAACGAGAACAGGAGGCTTTGAGCCGCACGTGTTACTGCATCAGGGACAGTCATTAGTGAAGCAGTGTAGATTAAAAGATTTGCTAATACGGTTAGGTGTCACGAGGGTTTAACTTAAAAGATTTGCTAATACGGTTAGGTGTCACGAGGGTTCAACTATGGAGTTTCTTTCCAAGTATACTGCTAGTCTGAGTCGTGCTTTTGTTGCTTTCCTTAGACTTTTTAAAACTCAACTCAACTCAAGTCTGGTTTCCCACTTAACTGGCAAAACGTTTACAGGTTACTCAGATTTACCTAAGTTCGTTGCTTCGCATTTATCAGCAAAACTCATTGTTGATCCTTCCTTGAAATTGACCGTATCAGCTTTAGAGGAAGGTTTGTCTGTTCTGGCAAGTTCTATGGTAGATGTTGAGCGTGATGGTCGTAACCTGACTGTTGATATTATTTTTATTGTTGGCACCAGTGATCGGAGATCAAAATCACTTATGTGTTGTATAGCATTTGACGTCGCTTAAGTTTAATATTTCAGGAAAGTGTTTCACAGGTCCTGTTCAACATACAAATCTTTTGAAGCGTTAGATAGGTGTTTTAGTAGTGAAGTAGGTTTTCTTTGTCCTAAGAATGTATTAAAGTCGGTTTCTAGCTTGCAATGGTTAGGTTTTGCTTGGAATCAGATCTGAAACTTTCGTTCCTGAGGAATAATCAACCCGCTCCAAACTGTGACCACATACATCCGCTGATCCATCTTGGTGGCAGATATTTTCTGTCCACAACTTCTGGAACGTTAACGTTAAATACCGGTGGCTTGTTGTCTGTTTCTACCTTGGCAGTGTACAACTTTCCATAAAAAATTTGGCTTTGTTGGAATGAAGGCTAGCTTAGCCACTTGTCCCAAGCATCTTTTGGCATCATTACCTGTGTTTTCAACCTCTACGATTACTTATGTTCAATGGGACCCCAGTTCAGAAGGCTTAACTCCATTGCAGTTGCATCACGAGTCTCTTGCAATCCTGCCTCCTGTTAAAGTTAATCGCATGTTGATTAATGACCTGGATGAAAAATTTCAACTCTACGATAATCAGCTTAGTGCTGTAAGGCGAAAGGCAGATAGTCTTATTGACCAGATTGAGGAAACGTTTGACTCCTCCTACGACGAGTATGTTGCTTTCACCGCTCTTGGCCTGTCTACAACCAATTTCATCGTGTTTTGTGTTCTTTGTCACTGTATATTGAGGTATTCAGTTCCTCGGTCCCACAACAACCCTCTCCAGCTTTCTCCTCAGCCATTACCTGAACCTGAACCTTCAAGCCGTCGACATAAAACCTGCCATCATTGTGCGAAGCCTGTGAAGCAAAGGACTCTGTCTGAAGTCAAAGAAAAGGTTGCAGTAGCAGAACGCTAAGAACTATTTTGGAACACTGTCTCAATAAAAGGAACTGAACTTTGCTGGATATTGTAGCACTTTGACGATGTATTACATAATTGTATTACAGTTAATTAATTTTTCTAGGTTCTTAGATGAGGTTGGTTCTGTTCGGTTAACTACAGTTAGTGGGCGTTTTGCATCATTCAAATTTCAGAATGACAATTGTTTTCCAAGACAATTACCCCCTCTCTTTCAGATAGATTGTCTACTGACTTGCTTTTAGGTTTCTTTTCTGGTGCTGGTCGTAGTTTGATGTGGGGGTTGAGAATGTCGTTGAGGTTATTCAAATTTGTTCTTATTTTATGGTGAGTGAGCGTTTTCTTTCTGAAATTTTTCGCTGTACTTTTCCGACAGGTTATTGCCTGTCATTTAGGGAAAACCAGTTCCTAGAGGTGTTGTTTCCTTTGAGGTTGTCAGGCTATCTGTGTCTGGTACGAGACCTTATGTTTTATGCGTCGAATATGAAGAAATTTTTGTTTTTGAAGATTTAATGTTGGCACCAAATGTTGCTTCCCTTCGTTGTTTAGTTAATGATTGTGTAAGGAATTTGGAGCAAGACTGAGTTCTCGTTCGAACTTCCTTTTTCGATTTGTTATAGTTGTTTTTGTTAACTGTCTAGGTTAAATGGATGCTTGGCGTGTTATTCATCGACTAGCCAAATGGATTTATATAAAGTGCTTTAAGACCAAGGCATCTGTAATCTTTGATTGGGCTGTGCTGCCATGTGACCACCTGATTTGCATTGATTGTTTCAAAAAACATGCAGAAGAACTTAAAGTGATGTTTAAATGTGGTTGTGGCACTGAGTTCTCTCAGAGTGCTTATGACTATTTAGTGACACATTGTGCTTCGGCTCAAGATGCAGCCAAAGATCTCAGTTAAAACCTCGCTGGGCTAATGGTATTGGCTAATGGTATTAGCTAATGGCGATTTGTGGATTATTTCCTGAGCCTGAAGGTCGCCCGTTTGTTAATTATGGTCGACTTTATTTTTCATAACACAAGTTTATAAATGTTTGGCGATTTTTGAGACAATACTCAATTTTGAGTTCTCCTGAGCATCGAGGATGATGCTTTTTCTGAGAGGGGAGGCATGTTATGAAGTAGTTTTATGGTTGTTTTTGACATTATCATAAGGATTTTTGATGACAGTTCTGTTTGTTCTTTGTTCTTCTCGTGATTTACGTTTTGTTATGTTTGGGTTTGAAAATCAAGGTTAACCAGTATATGCATTAACAGGTTTTTGAGTGTTATTACCTTTTTTAATGGGTTTGTCAACAGAAGTGTCATAAAGCTTGGGGTTTAATTAAGTTTGATTGTCAGTTTTTAAGTGGGTACGTTTTAGGACCATTGCTGACCTTCATTATTACCTACATCAGAGTTCCTGTTTTGGTTTGAAGTATAGCCTTGTGGATTTAGCTGTCAAGATTGCATTAGTTTTCTTGTAGGATTGTTTATTTCACTTTTGTTAATAACGGGAAATTCGTTATAGTCATTCGGAATAGCGTTCGTAACTCTCATGATCAGCAAGCCTAAACATACCTGCGTTATGCTTATATAAGTTGTATAGCTGGATGGTTAGTAGGGAGTGATTAGCTGTTGCAAGAAGCTGAGCTGAAGAAGTTTGTGTTGCCGTCAGTAATTAAAAGGAAGAAAAGTATCAAAGCTTTGTCAGAGTCTTGGAGTCCTCTTGCTAGAAGAACTGTCCCCGTCGAAGAAACCCCTAACAAAGATAAAGACAAATAAAGACCAAGATGTAAGAAGTAGATTCTTAGAAACCTCGTCACTTAGCAAGCGAGTTGCTTAAACACTCTCACATAGTTTGGTGGAGAGCCATCATATTTTGTTGAAAGTAAAAGTAATGTCTAATTTAAAGTCATGTATAAGCCTTTAGTTGAATTTCCATTACTTTGTGGTGGAGAGAAAGAAGATGTTTACAAGGTTTTGACAATTCCAGATACACCACTATATTTAAAGGTGGGGATAAAAAGTTGGCACTTGGTCTTCCTCTGTTTCTCAAAAACATGCTACTTTGTAGCTTGTGGTTAAGACTTTAGAAGTATCTGATAGTGAGGCATTCTAAGGTTCTTAGCAAAATTTAATCACTCAGTTTCACTCAAGTGTAAATTAATGGCAGTTAAGGCAAAAACTTGAAGAGCACTGTCAGGGAAAGACTGGACTAAGGGATACTGTTGAAGATTACTCTTATGATATTCTTTTGAAGGCCAATTTATGCCCACATAAATTTAAGTTAATGTGACAACCATGAGCGATCGCATGTTTGGATTGTATGACATGCAGTCTTCAAAAGGGAGACAAGACAGTTTAAAGCTTAGTGTTGCTGGCCTGACTTTGCCTCACCCTTTAAGGCAAAAAAGTTCTTGCGCAGCATGGCATATCGGGCATTACACAATATTTTGGTGCTTATAAATCCTTTCAACCTAATCCCTGATGAGATTGCCATTTTCAAAACGTTTCATTGAATTCTTTTTTGGGATTATTTGTTTGATCACTCTGTCAGTGTAAATAATAATAATTAAATAACTTATTTATTTAGTGGTCATATCCTGAGCTCATGGCGCTTTACAATGTAAAAAAGTGGAAAATGAAATAATTTATATATCACAAGCATGAAATCTATTTACAATCATTATATTACATGTCTTAAAATCATAAAGTTTACAAATACAATGACCTACTCTCTAAAAATTGCCTAAAAAGATATGTTTTCAAGTCTTTCTTAAAACCAGTTAAAGATGGTGACTTACAAAAATCTAATGGTAGTGAATTCCACAGTTTAGGGGCACACACTGAAAAAGCCTTGTCCCCATAAGTTTTCGTGATTGATTGAGGTTGGTCTAACAGCTGCTTAGATGCTGACCGCAAGACCCCAGAATGCGATTGATAACTCAGTCTGTCCGCCAGATAGCTAGGGGAAATGGTTGTTAAGTGATCTGAAAACTAGCAAAAGAATTTTGACACTTGCCAGAACAAATCTTAAACTGGAGTCCTCCTACAGCTTGGAGGTGTTTTCCATATGAAAGAAGAACTGGGGAGCTCAGTGACACCTGAACAAAGGGAAAATCTGTCGAGGAACATTGTGCTGACCACTTGCCTTTGCCTTTTATCCCAGAAACCATCCACACTCAAATTCCAGCTGCCATCACACATCTTTTGGAAACACCATCAGAAGAGCATTCCAGAAATAGTCATTTTTATCAACTAGGAAGGGATACAGAAGATTGTTTCTATGGAAAGATAAGTACTAGGTTTTCATCATTAAATGCAGCTGACCCATCTGTGGTTGCTGAAATGAAGGAATTTCTGCCATCCTCTTGGACTGTTCTTTTGCTCCACCCAAGAGAGTAACCAAGGGTCTTCAGTTATCATTTATTCATGGAGGCATGCTATTTCTATTGACTGTCCTTCAAAAAATTAATGTATGTGATAGCCATTGAAAATGCTACAAAATTCTCCTCGCAGTTTTGTAGTAAGTGGAGTTTTTAATATACAACACCACTGTTTAAAAGGCCATGATTTTAGTTACTGGGAGTTTTACTTGATATATTTTTATGATTTAATTTTTGTATGTTACTAGCAATTGAAATCTAAAGTTTGCTTTGTCAGGTAAGCATCTTTCTTAGCTTAGCAAATGATATGCGTTAATGACTAGGTTAAGAAAGGATTAGCATGTGGCTAAAGAGACAACTACAGAAAATTGCTGTAAATAGCAATACAGAAAATGAAAAACAGTAGTTGTGGGTGTTTTCCTTGTTGGCTGCTGCATGGGGTTGAATCTTGAAAGCACTAAGCTCAGAGATGAAGTCACTATGTTTTCATAATAAAAGAGCTTCAAAAGATTGTCCTCCTTAAGACTGCTCATCACTATCCATCAAGCAATCCATGAGACTTACGACTGCCCCAGGTTCATTTTTTTAGTTATTAAGAGGAAAATAGCAGTAAATAGCAACCAAAAAATTAATACCACTGTTATTGTGAGTGTTTTCTATGTTGGCTGCTGTATAGGGTTAAACCCAAAAGGCACCAAGCTCAGAAAAGTGAAAATTCTATTCTCACAAGTGCTTTAGAAGATTATCCTTCTTTGAACTGCTCATCACTATCCATCAAGCAATCCACAAGACTTAATTTATTTATTTATTTATTATTTATGTACCTTCAAATAGGAACAGAGCAGAAAATAGCAGTATAAAGCCACAAAGAAAATGATTAACACTATCATGGTGGGTATTTTCCCTGTTGGCTGCTGCATGGTGTTGAACACTTAAGGCACATAACTCAGAGATGAAGTGAATATATTCCAATAAACTGGACAAGATTGTCCTCCTTAGGACTGCCCACATACTCAGGAAGTCACCAGCCATCACGTAATCCGTAAGACTTATCACTGCCATGGAATGAACTTGGCTCTCAAGTGGAAAGAACCCGACTCCATAGAGAATTAATTATAATAATAATAATAATTATTATTATTATTATTATCATTATTATTGATTACAATGTGAAGTTATTTTCCAAACAGTCCATTATTAAAAGCAAAACTAACTGCATGGGTCTTATCACTTCTAAGTATAACAAAAGTTAAACTGTATTTACCTAATGCAAATGACCAGCTGTAGTTAAGTTTCGCTTGATCACAGGCAGACCATTCTCTGGCATTGAGTATAACTTTGAATGTTGTTGGTGTAGCTTAGGTGTTTTCAAACTTTCTTCGTGCTGTAAAATTAATGTGCTTGCAATGGTCATTCAGCAACTAATCATGATACTCCAACGATTGTTTGATTGTTCTTCAATGGGTTTTTAATGATTTACTGTAGCACCTGTACTCCTGCAAACATTGATCTGAGCATTAATCAATCATCTTAACGAAGACTAAACTTTGAGTTCATGTTTGACTGTGCACTTTTTTTGTACCATTCAAGCGAAATTTTGTCTGTTGATTCTTGTTGCTGGCAAGCACTTTTTTCTTCATCCATAAACAAGTTTTATAGCTTTAAATTGTAGTTGAGCATCACAAAAAAACCTTTAAGTTACAACCAGTTTTGTTAAAATAATGTGTGATGTGTTTGTTTGTCTCATGCTGAGCAAGGTACAACATTTATACTACAACATGTCATCATTTAATGTTTATTTACTGTTTTAAGTCTCATGCTGATGAGCTGAAGAGGATATATTAAATGGTACTACCATACAGAGTTTGCACAGGGTTTAATTTCTCATTCCTCATTGACTTATGAAGCATAATAATAGCTTTTGAACTTTCATAAGCCAGTAGTATACTTGCAATATTTAAGTCGATCTTTGTTTACCAACATGGAGCATCATTCATTTATTCAGTTAAGTACAAAAAAATTATTGGTGAGAATTTGATGTCAGCAACAAAAACAGCTTGGCTTCCGCATTTAGTGGACAATCATTTAAGAGATTTGGAGTAAGATTGAGTATTTTTCAAAATTTCTTTATTCTTGTTATACTAACTTTCGTTAACTTTTCAGATAACATGAACAAACAGAATGTGATCCACCCGCAACAGGTCTTTCATAAATAACCTGTTCAAGTTGTCTTTCAACAGCAAGATCTAATTAAAAATCTCTGAAAATGCTGTCGATCAGCAAAAGCTCAGATTTTTATATTTTAAAATGGGCAGCAGATTAAGGCCTCATTTGAGTATTTTTAATTTTCATTATTGGGTTAGACGATGTAAGTATCATTTATTTTGAAATTTAAAAAATTTGCTTGTCACAGTTGCCAATTTTGGCAAGTTTAAGCTGTAGAAAAGGACAGACAAGGTGCTGTCAAAAAAAAAAACACTGTGTATAATACATGTACTTTGATAATTTGCTATGCAAGTGGACTAGCTTTCTGCCGTATTATCATCATAAAATTTATTCCAAAGAGAATGACAGATTGTTATATGTCCATCTTGTTGACAGGATCTGCTCAGGTCTCAGTACTGTACCAGACAACATTGTGAATGCTGTCAACACACTGAATGCCCTACAACAGTGGAATAGAGCAATCAACAAAAAAGTTAATTGTAATTCATATTTGGCATAGAGGCTCTACGGAATAAAACAAACAAAAATTGATGAAAACCCAACCAAAACAATTTCGGACGTTGATCTTTGACATTTGCTTGAATGCTGGTTGTCCCAGTTGAGTCTTTCACAGGTTAAATTGCACTTGGTTGATAACACAGCCACTACTGCACAGTTTGTAGATACTAGTGGCCCGTTTTTGTGGAAGGGGGTGTGTATCGCATCCTGTGCAAGAGGCACAACGCCCACTCCAGTCAGAATAAACACAATAAATTCTCCTCCGAGCTCTTCAGTAAGGTTCAAGTCATCAACACTGTCAGGACACCTCAGAACCAAAACACATAACTCCGTGGTACAACTTGAAACTATAATGGATAATTTATATTTTCTAATGAAGGAGGACATATCCAGCAGGAAAGCAGTACATCTTCATAAACCTGTATAATTGCAAGAAAGTGAATAAATTAAGTATTTCCAACGCAAGAGTCAGCAAGTGCAGAGAGAAATGATGCTGACGTTAGGAGATGCTGTTTGCAAGTCCTTTTTGACAGAAGCACAGTCTGCCTGATGTATTGGATTGCTCCTAGATGACCTCACTGATATTGCTGTTCAAGAACGAATGATCTGTTTCATTCAGTACCTAGACCAGAAAGCAAACAACCGAACAAAATTTCTTTTTACCGCCAGCCTGTTAAGTGGTGAAAGCTCCAGTGCTAATGCTCCAACTAAAAAGACAGCTTTTCTTTAAGGGCTGGAAGAAAATTCCCTGGGCACCAGAAAGTTTGCCTCAATCTATACAGACAAGCATAATAGAGCAAACCAGCCACGCCTACAGCAACTTTCTCCTGGAACACAAACTGATGACATTGCCTTAGATAAGGAGGGTGAGATGGAAAAAGAGAGAAAAGAACAAGAATATCAGACAATAGTTGCAAAACGCTTAGATTTGGGTGATGAAGACTGCACAGATGACAGAAATTCAGAAGATGAAGATTCAGGCCTTGACTCTTGTTTCCAGGGATGACTTTTAGCCCCAACACTTGCAAAACTGCGAGAGTATATTGAGCCTGTTTTAGTTGATAACCAAAAACCTACTTAAAGATAAAGGAAACCTCCCATTGTTCAAATGAAAAAATGGAATATTTATATTATGAGTGCATTATCAATTCAACAAATAAAAAGTCATGGACATAGCATTTTATTTCAAAAAATGACTATTTCTTGTGCAATATTGAGTTGTGGAATTTGGCAGATTTAAACGCCCACAATGCACCAAATTGTATCTCTAAGTAATTAATTTTTCAAATTTTTCTTCCTCCAAACTCTCCTACAATTTCACACCTGCAGTGCTCAAATGGAGCTAGGTGCCCACATACTTCTCCGCCTGATAATCTAGAATCGACTCCTTTTAAAAATGAAAAGGAAAACCCAAAAGCCCATGGTTAACTTTTACCCAAAAAATATGTTTGTTTTTACAATCACTCCACTCTACTATCACAGTTTCCCAGAAACTCAGTTTAAATACAATGTAGTGTCAAATAGCACAACTGCCTCCGTGCAACAAAGGCACATAGTTCCACAATGAATGCCTGAAACCACCTAGGATGGCACCATAAGCTTTCAACTGCTTCATAGGTTTTTACAAATTAAATTACACGATTATTGTGTGCACACCACTGGTCATATCTTACATAGATAAGTACATACGTTTTATTGAATCTCCCTTTGCAGGGCTTTTCAGACACTACAGGAATCCAAAACCTAAAATCTGTGTGTTCATTAAAAATACTATTAAAACAATAAATCAGATCAATACTGTAGTAACTAACAACATTAAACATACAATAGTTAGTATATGTTAAATATACAATTTTAACCACTCTTTTCTTAAAGACCATATCTTTAATTCCCTTTAATTTCCCTCCACACAGACAAAGATAACGTTCAACATAAACCAGTCACTGTACCTTCCAACCTTTAAAAGATACCACCCAGTCAGTTCCTTAGTATGCCGAATCTAACCGAATTGTTAAGTACCTGGTTTTATATTTTTTTATCCTGGTGCAATGACAGAAGACAGGACCAGACAGACTTTCGTCGTGACAAATCAAGAAAGATACTAATGGCCACAAATATGCAATTATGACCTGTGAAGAAGCCACCAAAAACCATCCTGGTAAAGAAACGAGCAAGCCCTGCTGAACATGAAACAAGGCTGTATAGTACAGAAGCAGATGATGATACCTTGAGCCTTTGCAAGTTTGAAACCTTTTGCAGCCAAATAAAAACCACTTTGCAAGGCATTCTTCCAACATCCAAAAAAATGTTATTTGTCTTGATCAGGATTGACATAAATTAATATTTTGGCAGCATGAAACAGAGAACTAGGGTCAATAGTGTTTTAAGTGTCGACTCATGCACGTTGACTACATGTCTGTTATGTCTAAAATAAGTAAAGCAATAGGGAATTATTGCAAATCTTAGACACGCTGTCTTATTGAATACCCTTTTAAATTTGTATAATTTACAGATATCCCTTTATTCATCCTACTACTAGAGCATGCTGTTACTCTGTTCATCTCCTCTAATATTTCCTCATCAAATATGCTTTATTTCAAAACTGTCCCCACTTTAATGTGTGATATTTCACGTAAGTTTGAACAATCAAGCATACAGTATATGCTCTTTCTCCACCAAAACAGGTGAAATACATGGATATAATTAATAAAACAGGATATTTTAATTCCCGGAATTTCTAAATCAATATTTCAAAAACGAATCAACAACTTAGATCTTTTACCAGATTTGGAGCAAAATAACAATCAAGGCCAAAAAAGGCCTTCAAAATTAATTATTAATTAATTATGGTCATGGCTAATCTTTATGTTACTTCTTTTGCCAACTAAAGACGTTTACATTCGACCACCTCTTGTTCTCAACAGAATAAAATAGGACCTAGTAAGAACTGTGTACATGCCTTTCACCTTTATCTCTGTCCTACACTTTAATCCCTAAAAAATCCATATCCCAACAAATTATCAGCAAAGATAACAAAACTATTGCAGATGAGTTTAACCGGTTTTTCATTTCAGTTGGCCAAAGCTCTGTTGACAAAATACAATTATTGGCTAATGAATGAAACATAACACTCAACCGCAATTAGTTTGTTCCAAGACAACACCCTATGTTCAAGCAGTTTAATTTGAATACCATAGGCAGTGATGAGATCGAACACATAATATCATCAATGCCATCAAACAAAGCCCCAGGGATTGACAAGATTTCCATTTGCATTTTGAAGGACTGCCTTGCTCCAATTCTTCCAGTAATCATGTCTATTATTAACACTTCTAGTGAAACATGCAAATTTCCCACCACTTGGAAATTAGCCGAAGTAACACCTCTCCCTAAAACTGAAAACCATGAACTGACGAATAATAACATGCCAATTTCCCTTTCACCACTTTTATCAAAGGTTTGTGAAAGGGTTGAACACAATCAATTCAATTCTTATTTGCAATTAAATGATAGGTTAACAAGACCCAAAGCAGCAACAAAAACTGACACTATTCCTAGAGCAATTGACCAGAAGATGTTCACTTCGGCAGTGTTCTTGGACATGAGCAAGGCCTTCGACAACATCAACCACGAAACCCTAATCTTGAAATTGCAAGAGGTAGGTAGCCTGTGTACAGACGTCCCCTCCTCCCTCAGGAAAAAATCGGGAGAGGAGACGTCTGTGAATTGCCGATGATAATCGTGTTCCTATTTCCCCGGAATGTTGGGGACAGCCTCTGATTGGTTGTAATAAAATGCCATGACCTAAGTAATTTCCTGTGTCGTGATTGGTGAATAGGTCGCAGAAAACCCCGGGACATGAGTTTTCCCGGGAAAGCAAACAAAGGCATTTCCTCCCTTGCCTTTGCATGTTTTCTTTGAGTTGGTGTATATACACAGGCTAGTTTTCGCCTTTCTTGAACAAAAAATGTGAATTGAGACCTGCGATGTTTGCTGCACCAATTGCGGCTGTATGTGTTTTATGTCATGGGGATATTTTGAAGAGAGGAGACAAGAATCTCGTTGAAGGACGCACAGAGTTTAGCCCTAAATCAGAGATCGTTTCTCTAGATTTCAGTGTTGAATTAAATTCATCCTACATTTGCCACTCTTGTCTTGTAAAGTTAAAGAAAAGAAGAGCGCTGATATCTCATTTAAAAGAAGTGAACGATTCTTTGCGTCAGATCTATTGGAAGTCTTTGAATGCAAAAAGTAATTCATTTAACGTGCGACCAGATGCCATGCAGGATTCACTATGCACTTTGAAGCAACCTGATTTGCAAGATCCTTGACTAACGGATCGACCTGTGGCTATGGCTATAACCTCCTCAACTCCTAGAAAAGATCGCGAGCAAGCTGTATCCCTGCCGACAGTTTCGCCGATCCAGACGCAGATCATGATTGCAGATGCTGTTGAGACGAGTGAAGTGAGCAAAGCACAAGAAAAAAAAACAACCGTTCAAGTGTGAGTCGATTGGCCCAGTAAAAGCAAAACGAACACTTTACATGAAGGGTTAGAATCGCTTGGGAAAATGCTCTGCAGTGGAACTTACAAACAAATCGCCGGAGCAGTGTGAAGAACGCGATTTTAAAGAAACACGTGCAGCAACTCTTCTTGAAAGAAATTGATCGCAAGTGTACTGCTTTGTGTTCGCAGAAAGAAGCGAGCAGCTTCAGATCGACAAGTGAAAACCCTTTCTTTTAAAAAGCTGGACAGTGAACTCGAGAATAAAGCCCTGTTGTTTAGCGCTGTACTATAGACGGCGAGCCTTTGAAAAGGTAAGAGGGATGATCAGTTCTGACAACCATCGGTTTGTATGTCTGCTGCAGTCTTGCTGAAAAACAGATCCCCGTGTATGACTGCCATTCAGCTCTTAAACACCATTGTTTTGTATCGCACAAGGATAATTGTGAGTATTTCCTATTTAACTGAGTGTATTGAATTCCTTTTGTTATATTTCATTCAATTGTCTTTATAATATTTACAGATTGGCCTTCAGGCCACAGACATAATTTATATTGAAATGCACAAAAGGTTTGGTACACATACAAGATGGTTTACGTTTGAAGAAAATTTCATTCCGACGAAAAAATTTCCGAGTTATTATTTGTCTTAATCTTGGTGATTCATACCCTTTTTTTACCTGTTTATCTTACCTTGCTTTTTACTCCGAATTGAAAATTAAAATGAGTTGTAAAAGACAGTCTTCATGTGATAAATATTTTATGAGTTCGTATCCCCTTTTTGAGGATAATTTTGATGATATTGTTTGTAAGGCAATTTAATTCAGGTCATTCTAAGGATTAAAGAGTTTAGAATAATAATAATGTATACCATGTTAGCATTATATAATTCTTATTTATTAAAATTTAAAACTAAATTTAAAGAATTTACAGATGGAGGACAGAGGAAGTCTGAAAAATTAAATGACTAGAAAGATTACATTATTTATTTTCTACAAAAACTTCCATAATTGAATGACCGGTAAAAAGTTTTTGGTTAAGTCTGACACATTCCTTTTTGTCTTCTCTGTCATTTTTTTTTTTGGCTTACAAGGTACTCTTTCTCGTCTTAGGTCCCTGAGACTTGCTGTGTCCCATCATTACTACTACAAGAAGATGGAGGAGTATGGGAAAGACTTTGCCATCAACGTAGTTCAGAGAGTGGAAAACGAGTCAGAACGGCTCACGCATCAACATGGTGCATCAAGTACACAAGGTCCCACTCCCTCGGCTTCTTCATTTATTGTTGTAACTCCAGATAAAGGGAGGAAAATAGTTTTTGACAATTTTGATTTCAAGCAACATGTGCACAGCATGACAGAGCACCACCAAAACATTGACATATACTGAGTAACACACATGGCAGTGGAAAACAGAGTTTCAGGGAACCACTTATCCAGTGTGAAACCGTCACCTGAAAACCTGCTGCAGATAGAAAATGGTCTCTGTTTACCCAGTTGGCACAAGCACCATCTACAGAGAGAGAATTCTATATCGTTGACTGAAAGAGCCCTTGTGGAGTTACCTTGCTTGGAGCTCTTAAAATCAGTGGCATGCAAGCACATCCCACACCAGTTCAGCCAGCAGATGCGAGAAAAATCAGAGATTGTAAGAGAACAAAAAAGCTTACTAGCCCGTGTACATCTATCAAACTGCAAAATAATCAATATAGGTAGCAACTCAGTTTTAATTTAGGAACGCTATCATGGCCTTTAACTACCCTCCTTCCCGTGCGCCAGAGTACCTTTCCTCTCAGTTGATAAAGTGAGGAGAAATAAGCGGGCATGCCACGAGAAGTTCACAGATGCTGAACATTCCACTTTTCAAGTCTGCTTGTGGTCAAAGGACGTTTTACTATTAAATAGTCTGTATCTGGAACTCCATGGATGGCCATCTTAAAACTTTTGAATCAGTATCTGCCTTAAAGTTCAATCTGAAAGGTAAACTGGTCAAGGATTTTGCATATTCTTAAGTTTTTATCATGTCACTTCAATTTTAGTGTGAATATTTTTATTAGAGTTTTTAAGTACAAGTTTTTAAATTAGTTAATACATTATACTTCTGACGTCCTTGAAGTAGGTTTTCATTGTCGCAAATTTTTCTCTTTTTAGTTGTATGTTATTAACTGAATTATTGTCTTTAAAGGCCTCCACAAGGAGCAATGGAAATCGAGGACGAATTAGGAGGACGTTAAGGAGATGTATAATAGAAGGAAATGTAAAGGGTGCTAAAGAAATTGTTTTGGAATGCAAAAAAAGTTTTAATTGTCTTTTATTGACCAGCATGTTAACTACCACATGTCTGCAATGAGAAAGCATGAATTCTCAACAGCACTGATCTCAAGAGAAGTAGAACTGAAGAACTGCATTCGTCTCAAAACTACAGGGAATGCCAACTGTATGTTTAACGCTGCTTCACTGTTGTTGGTCGGAAACAAATCGCTAAGTGATGTGATAAGACTACTCGTTGCTGGAGAACTTTTCTTTTTCTCAGAGTTCTACATACAAACTGTTCAAGACAGGTTCTTGGAAATAGAAAACGAGACGCCCTATTCAGAGGCTACTGCCTTCTCAACTATCCTAACAGAAGCGGGCGAGAGAGAAATGACAAACTCAAAAAGTCGCCTGGAAGCTATTCGCACAGAAGCACGCAATACATGCCTTACAAACAACTGGAATGGGATGATTCAAATGATGGCCTTGTCCACTGTTTTAAGATGGCCAATATTCAGGATTGACTTTCTGTAACTTATTGATGATTTTGCTGAAGTTTATTTAAAGACCTTTAGTACATTGTATTCTTTTTTTTTAAGATAATTTTTGGCAACTAGAATATTTCTCCTGGCAACCAAAAATGAAAAATAAGGGGCCAGCTGGTTCCAAGATTTTTTTCTGAAAGTCGAGCCCTGCACAACCAAAGAAGTTATGAACATATGTGACCCTCCACAGGATTTTAATGCTAAAGGTGAAAGCACGCGCACGACACGCTTTCACTTTAAAACAAAAGAATTTATTTTAACACGCTTTAGCCCGCTTGCAATCTTGCCTCATTAGCAATTTCTTTTTTTTCAGAGGACACGCTTGAGACAATTAAGCGTGAGCAAGTCGAACAAAAGAGCGTGTTAAAGTTTTCAAACAAAAGCTCCGCGCGAAAAAGCACAACACGCTTTCAGTGTGTGCAAAAGCACGCAAGGCGTGTTATCTATAAGCTAAATAAATTTCCTCTACAAAAAGGAACCGTAAATGATTATGAATGGCACCCTTTTTTGGTAACTATCGAGAAAGAAAAAGTTATACCTCCGCGTTCGCTTAAAAAGCATAAACAGTGAACGGTGTGACCTACTGGATTTATGGGTAGAACTATATTAGCATTGCAAAATCAAAGTTCTTTCCAGAAATGTTTACTGACGAAGCTGTGCAAAGGTTATCTTAACTTTCCTTAACTTAAAACACATTTGCAATTTTCTCAGAAACAGTGATCTTTCGGACTTAAGACACTTCCTTGCCGATCGCAGGAATCGCGATCAAATATAATAGAAATCATCAAGTGCCAAGATCACTAAATTCTATTTATTTTTTAGCGATTGCAAGGATTGTAGTGATCAAATGAAAACCAGCCTGCTTTTCTAGATGTACCAAAATTCCAAAACGTTTCCAACGTTGCTTAATTGATCCGGCCGACAATAACACAAAAAGCGAAACATCAGTTAATTAATGACTGTTTCACCGCTTTTTGAATAGTAAGCAAAAAATGTATTTTTTAACAGAATTCCAAAATTGTATGGTGCTTTTTTGTTTGATTCTTTGTTTTTGCCACAATAATACGGCGTGTTTAGAGTACTAAAGTTCAATCCGAGAATTAAATCTCTGTCAGTCACACAGTGAGAAAAGAGAAAAAGAACTAAATTCAAAGTAGTCTGCGTGAAATTCTTGAAGGCAATCATTTGTTCAATAAAGTTCGGTCATTGAATTAATTCATCGAGCTCGATCTAAAGGGGTGACGGTCAAGCTACTGGAAAGTGATGTCGTTTGAAGTTATGTCGTCCAAAACCTGATAATATGAGTTTTGTCGCCCAAAATTCAAAGAAAAGTCGCCCGCAATCCTCCCTCATTCTACAGTGTTTTTGGTTTACAGTTTCTTGTTTTTTTCGTCCTGTGAAGAACGAGATTTAGTACACGTTTACAGCACTTGATTCGTCTTAGCATAGCGTAACGAGATATCTTTACATAAATTATGATTGATAGCGCTTCGTTCGTCAGGGGCACCTGACAGGGATTTCCTCCTAAATGCATCCTAGCATCCTAGGACAACTTCAGTCTTTTCGAAATTACAGGGGCCTCAACATTATTTTCCCGAAAAATTTAGCTTCCAATTGAACGTTTCAGGAAAGTGAGAATTTTATCGTATTTTTGGTTCCAAAAATTTTAGGATTCCTTAATTCTCTACGAAAAATAGCTTAACTGGGGAATGAAATGGAAAAAAATTAAACTTCAGAAAATCGTAAGGAATTTATTAGATAACCTTCGAAAATTGTACATGCATGGAACGGTCATCTAGAAATGTTAAGCCTTCCTCAACCTATAGAAAATTCTAGGCAGTTTTTGTTTCTCCGATTTAATTACCTTCGTTCGTCTCAGCATGGCTTAAGGAAATATATTAAACTAATTTATTCAACTTCATTTCTCTGTGCATTCCTGCTAATAAATATTCCGGTGGCATAACTATAATTTTCAGGCGACATAACTTCAATGCCTCGCATGCGATAGCAGGCCTCTTTGCGATTCCGGTCAACAGCCGACAGTCGGAGGAATTGGTTTACACTGATCTCGCGTTAATTCCAGGCTAGACCACCATTAAGTCGTGATTTTTAAATGGCCACGGTTACTATCAAATTCCAAAACAGTCTTAATTGGTATATTTGATTCACTTCGACCAGTTATCAATGCTGATTAAATCCGCTGAAAACCCAAGCCATTTTTATCATCTTAGCGGTTTTAGTAATCAAGCATGTTCAGCGTGTCTTACCCAAGTGCACGCTAACCGTGCTATAATTCGCACACTTACCGCGACATATGGCATGCTACAAAAAAACAAAAGGTCTAGCGTGTTAAATTTGCCAAAACAAAGGCAAGTGTGTCCGTCTTTGTTTTTTCAATTTAATATGCGCATATCCGTGATCTATGGCACACTTAGCGTGTCGTGCAAGCGTGTCATGCGCGTGCTTTCACCTTTAGCATCAAATTCCTGTGGAGGGTCACATATATGAAAATCATATATTCATAACTCCATCATCATCCTTTCATGGGTTAATAGAGAAGCAATTCAACGACCTGCTCCCAGCTGGCTTGTTGGCTTAATAATTGGTAGAGCGATGACATATCAGAGAGGTCAAGAGTTTAAATCCCGCACAAGCCTGAATATTTTCAGGCATTCTTTTTGCAACTACAGTGAAACCTGTATTAAGCAGACACCTAAAAAGTGCCTTCAGTGGTCAACCTGTATTGAATAGAGACTTGTAATTAAATTCCACCACCCCACATGCCAGACACCGAAAATGCGAAAGATTGCCACCCACAAATTTTTCAATTTTTACAGTACAAAACATGACTTCAAGAACAGCATTTAATTTGCATCACACCTCGATGAATACAGTACAGTAGAGTATTGTTTTCTATTTCATTTTTGTTGTATAGAGCTTGTCTCGCTCACCTGATTTCTTCAAACTTGAATTGCAATCTATGTTTATGGTACTATGATCAACTGGTCCACTTTAACAACAAAATTAATGCAAAGGTATAACGTCATAGTCTCTGGGAATATTCTAAACATTTCCACTGTTCATTTGAATGGCATTTGACAACTCACACGACTGTGTCTATTGAAACCCCTATTAGACGGACACTACAGCATTCTTTGAGGGTGTCCCCTTGATATGGGTTTCACTGTATAAAAGTTGCATCTCCAACTGCAATGATCTTCTTTAATAAAATTTTTTTTTTTTTTTTTGTGAAACTTGCTAATCTCTTTTTTCAAACTCTTTTTTGGAAATCTGTAATAATTAGAACTTGTGCGACTGACCTGCCATAATTAGTTTAGCTACCTGTAGGTCAGTCAGACTCATGTAAAATAGTAATGTTATATTTAATAAATAAACTTGACAGTTTCATCAGTTAAGGCAAATTCGTGGCCTTATCTGTGAAATAATTTTTCTTTATTTTCTTGTTCAATATTTTTAATACGGTGACCATTGTTATGCAGGTTTTATCACTACAGTTCACAATACTATGCTACACTACACTGTTTCGGTTCAGTCCGCTGTGTCTGTGGTTTAAATGCACTTCAAATTAAAGCAAGTAAAAACAAGCTGTCATCTACTAATGCCATTGCAATTTTATATTCTCATTTTTCTTGTCTCTCTCTTGGTAACTGAATAATAATAAGCTTTAGTTATCCATCTTTAAAAGACATATATCAGTGGTTTCAAAACAAGCCAGCAACCGCCAGAGTTCATTGGTCACTGGCTAATCTAGCAGCTCGTGATTTACAAGCTTTTCTTGTATTCTCCAAACATCCTGCATAGGTTATCACACAGATAAACCCATAGAAAGTGTGGTCTATTGCTTAATAACATCTAACAGACAGTTTATTCAGTTTGGTGTATGCCTGTTTCATTTGTAATCCAAATAAAAAGAAAATTGTATTATGCAATTATAGACTTCCCTGTTTCAAAACAATTTCGAGGGGGGGGAGGTAAAACCTTAGGTTCAAGTAAGGCCATAAAGCTTGCAGAATATTTTGTCTCAAATAACCCGCTCTTGAAGGCGCTTATAGCAGCGGTTTGACTGCGAACTTTTCAAAAAACACCTCTCTTAATCTGGCACCAGTACTGACCTGAATACAGAACCAAGAACTTCACAATTTGGTATAAAAACCGAATTTCTTACAACCCATATATTCAGCACTTTTTTTGCTTATGGGAAACTTACTGAAAAGTGCTTTTTCTGTGTTTGTTTACAGCTGACCCTCATTTCCGCTCTATACTTGTTTAACCTAAATCTGACAGCTCAATGAATGGGGAGCCACAACAATAGTTCCATTGTATTCTGACCAAAACCATAGTCCGAAGTCTGCGTTTTACACTCCCCAGAGAGCAAAACAACAGCTCTGCATGTGCATCACCCAAATAATATTTTTACATTTTGATGTACACTACCAGGATGTAAAAAATACCAGTACGTTTTATGGAGGTCGTGAACATGCCACTTTCAGCGTTTCACATTTCAACTCGAGAAGAGGCCAAATAAACGAAACCTGTGATCAGGCGTTTTATTTCGGGAAAAAGGGATAAATCGCCTCCCAAATACCTGATTGCTGGTTAAAATAAACGCGAGAAGTTTGAAGGAACAATAAGCTTGATTTATCTTGTTAGTGGCGGCGTTATCATGTCTGCCGCCGCCTCCTAGTGCATGCATAGTCGCTATTTTATAAGCTTCCGATCCCACTACATGCAAAATATCGGTTTACTACGAAGCTGGTGTCTTTTTTTACTATTGAGAGGTTAAACACTTAAAAACGTATCCACGTTGTTAATCGTCGAGTAAATTTCCATAAGCTTACCTGCAAATGTTCCGAAGCAAGATGGCATTCAGCTGTTTTGCAGTGACAGCTCAGTTATTCAAAATTGTATCCGCAAGGTTCTGTACATACCCAGGTACACACCTAGAATCAATTGAACGAGTACATTATA